ACAAACTCTAGAAGTCCTCACCCCATGACTGCATGAGACTTTGGGGGGACAACTAGACATAAACCATAACACCTAGTATAACTATTAAACTTTAGGAACCTTTGTGAAAATGCTACATATTACACTATTGCTATTCAGTAGTGTTCTAATTGCGTAGAAGTAAATTTGTTCCATTTGATAGATATATACTATAGTTTCATAACTGGTCATTCTGGACCCGGTGAGATAGCTAAGTAGAATAAGTGTTTGTTTGGCAAGTGCAAGGGCCTGTGTTCAATCACCAGTTCCACCAAAAAACAAATTGACTTTTCTTATTTGCATACAATAAGTATAGATCTGTTTTCTAAGGATAAATGTATTACTTTGTCCATGTAGTTTGTCAATATTAATTTTGCATTTACTATGAAAGATGATACTGATATTATTACTTTATCCTAGTGGCAAAACTGATGCTATTATTTTACTTTTCTGACAAGACCGTATCTACATTAACTTTACGTTGTTAAAATACAGTTCCTGCTGCTGCAGACATGGATACTGGGCCAAACATGCTACAAATTCACACATCATTTAAGTAGAGGTTGTTGAAAGAGGGAACAGAGGCAAATGTCTGTAGGTAGCCATATACCAGGAAGATATGGTATTATTATCTTCCCACTTCACTGGGAAGATGAAATCAGCTGAAGAGGTCTCCACACTGGAAAAAAAACAAAAAAAAACCCTTTGCATTGCAACAAGCCAACAAATCTCAACACAAATAAATCAAAAAATCATGAAAAGAAATGCAAGACGACAGTACAACAAAAGGCTTCCCAGAACTCTGATTCTCCCAAAACTGACCCATGTGGCACTGAAGGAGAAGAAGGTGAAGCCCTCAAACTTACTGATCCAATGTGGTTTTATGGGGGAACAACAAAACTATTCAAAATGAGACAACAAGCATAGTCACAGAAGGTCTAGATGAGAGATATTGTGCTAGTTAAACAAAATCAGCAGCAAGTCTGAAACAGACACTAAAATGAAAGTACAGGAGCTAAGAAAATGAGGCAAAAGATACAGGAAAGCCAGGGAAATGCTATAAAGTGGCTTCAAATAAAACTCAGGGGCTTTGATCATTTCTTCATACTAAGGGAAGATGAAGCCACCAATGCTGACAGAGTTCCAGAATTTTAAAAAGGAGATGTTTCCGTGGCAGATACCTGTAGGTACTTATTTATCATTTCCTCACATTCCATTCATCAATAGTTCAAAATGATTTTGCATTCCTTTGTTTCCCACCCTTGTTTCTTTCCTAGTATAACTAATAAACTTTAGGAAACTTCGTGAAAATGCTACATATTACACTATTGCTAATCAGTAGTGTTCTCATTGTGTAGAAGTAAGAGAGATAGGCAGATGGAGAGACAGAGACAGAGAGAGACAGAGAGAGAGAGAGAGAGAGAGAGAGAGAGAGAGAGAGAGAGAGAGAGAGAGAGAGCGACTAGATTGCTCACTGGCCAGAAGACTCAGTGGTTCAAAAATGCCTGTTTAGGTAAGCTCAGAGGCCAGGCTTTTATCCCCAGTGTGAGATCCCCAGCATGCCATGACAGCCCCGCCTCAGAGCTCGCTGAGATGGCAATTGAGTCTGGGTTTGGTGGTGCATGCCTGTAATCATGGTGCTTGAGAGGCTGAAAACAGGGGGACCATTACAAGTCTGATCTGTGTAGTGAGACCCTATAGAGCTTCTATTATGTACAATAAAAAAAGAAAAAAATAAGAGTGACAGAAAAATGAATAACTAGTTCTACAAGATGCAAATAAAATTAACTTAAGGTTAATTAGAATTAGGCTAAAATAAACATAAGTAGCACCAATAAACAATAAACATAAGTAGCACCAATGACAATTGGCATAAAAACTCTTTTTTACTGAAATACTTCTAACTGATCACAGAGTAGTCCCTCACTGATCACAGAGTTTATGTTCCAGAAACTCCCATGATATGTGAAAATTAGCAAATAGTGATGTTATATTTATTTTAGTATTTATGTATAACATAAGGCACCATACATCTATGGTGCACTACTGAAAATCCCCGAGGATATAATGAAAAATCCATGATAACTAATTTAGATTAGTTTTTTTTTTTTGAAAATGCGTGAAACAGTGAGTGCACAAAACTCAAACAGTGAAATAGTGAAGGACTGCTCTAATGGGTGAAAGTATTAAAAGCAAAGTAAAAAATAAACTCTGCAGATGTGTGAGGCATCTATAACTCAGTACCCATGATCAGGGAAATACCTCAGTACCCATGATCAGGGAAGTACCTCTCCACAACAGTTCACAGCTGTGGAGTTAGAGAAGCTGGAGCGGAAATCAATGTGAAATTTTCAAGACCCACAACTGATGAAGGTAGACCATGACAGAACCAGGCAGGTGCACCAAGGTATACTGTGCACCACAACCCAATAGCACCTGCCTGGTGGATTCTCCAGAAATGACAATTTCACGTCTGATGGTGTCTTAGAAGACAGAAGACAAACCCTCAGCCCCTCCTTTTTTTTTACATGCTCAAGAAGGGCATCAACACCCCACACAAAGCCACAAAACAGGGTGAAGCTTAGGCAGAGATAAACCCCCAGTCACCAGCACCAAGCTAGGCTGCTCTGTTACATAGTATCAAGTCCCATGCACCAGTGACAGTCACCATGGCTTGGTCTCCTATATTTCCTCCCTTAAAACACACATGCAAATTAAGCTAGGTGCTAGCAAAATAAATTTCTGCCACCACTTGAGCTGTTGTGGAGGTCTTCATCTTGCAGGGAACATGCAGAAAATATGGACCCTTCTGTGCCTGATGGCTGTTCCCCTAGGTATGGGTTCTGATCTCTAGAAGATTAAGGAACCTGGGTGTGCGAAGGGAAGGACTCACAATGAAGCACTTTATCCTCAGGTGTGCCGTCTGATCTGACACTTGAGCAATCAGGACTAAACCTGCTGAAGACTGGGGAGACACTGTCCCTCACCTGCACTGTCACTGGCGGCTCTGTCTCTAGTAGTTACTACTGGCATTGGATCCACCAGCCTCCTGGGAAATTTTTACAGTGGATGGGGTACTGGGAAGGGAGCGCATACTACAACTCAGCTTTCCAGGGCCGCATCTCCATCACTGTTGACCTAGCCAAGAACCAGTTCTCCCTGCAGCTGAACTCCGTGACCACGGAGGACACTGCCATGTATTACTGTGCAAGAAACACAGTGGAGAACTTCAGTGTGAGTCCAGACATAAACCTCCCTGCGGGTGTACTTTTGGCCAGCAGGGGGCGACCATGACTATCAAGGTCAGAAAGGAGCAAATTTGATGATGATAATGCATAATATAACAACTGTTAATTTTATATTGTTGTTTTGAAATTGTGTATAATTTGTATTACTGCATATTGCTTTGATTCTGCTCTGTTCTTGTTGTGTGCTTTTGTCCTTTAAATAAAATAAAAGGGAGTGAGACAACCCGGGGCCTCGGGATCCTGAACAGACCCAGAGCGCAGGCCCGGCGCGTGAGTGAGACGACCCGGGCCTGCGGATCCTCATTTGACCGAGGCTGCAGGCCCAGCAAGGAACCCTTCAGCAGAACCTGCAAAGTGGCTAGAGGCAAGACCCACCCAGCTGATTCAGGAGCAGAACATCTTGCCAGAGAGACACAAAGGGTTCAACTCTAATGGCTGCAGCAGAAAGAAGTGGAGCACAGCAGCCAGATCCAAACAACACCCACCTGGAGGAATCTGAACTTCATAGATCCAGACCTGGTGCTAAGGTAATAACTCTATCTAAGTTCTACACCAAAGGTCAGAAGACAGTGGTATACAAAATGACAAAGAGAAGGAACAAAATGCAGTCTCAGGCCCCGAGTCCACCCAGTACAAATGCAGAAGACACTAGCACTGAGGAAACTGGAAATCACATGCCAGATATCTCAGAAATAATAGCGTTAACAGTAAAGAATCAACTGCAGAAAGGTATAGAAGAAATCAGATCAGAAATAATTTCGGAACTAAAAAAAATGTAGTAGTAACTATAATCAAAGAAGTACTAAGTGCTTCTAAAGAATACACTGGTAAAAAAAATAGAGGAGAATATAAAAATGGTGGAACCCCTGAATAAACAATTTAGGAAAGAAATAGAAACTATGAAACAGGTTCAAAGTGATATACAGGAAATTAAAACCTCAATCACAAGCTGGCAAAACCGTTTGAGGGAAAGTGAAAATAGACTTTCTGACCTGAAAGACACCATTGCAACTAGTAAAAAAGTAAGAAAAGATCTCTTTAAAACAACTAAGATGCAAGAAAAAAATAATTCAACACCTGCAAGACGATGCAAAGATGAACAATGTGAGACTTATAGGCATCAATGAGAAGGAAGGAGTCAATACAAATGATATAAAAAGAATATGGGCAGAAGTAATAGCAGAAAACTTCCCAAATATGGGGCAACAATCTGATATTCCTGTAATCAAAGCATATAGAACTCCAAATAATATCAATCCAATGAAAACCACACCCAGACATATAATAATCAAGATTCCAGAAATTCAGCATAGGAATTGTATACTAAAAGCCGCTAAAGCCGGGGAGGTGGCTCAGTAAGATAAGCGCTTGACTGGCAAATGCAAGGATCTGAGTTCAATCCCTGGTTCCACAAAAAAAAACAAAATACAAAAAACAAAAAACAAACAAACAAACAAAAAAATCCCTAACAACAATAAAAGCCGCTAAAGAAAAGAAACAGATCACATTGAAAGGAAAACTGATCAGAATAATGGCAAATTTTTCTTCGCAAACCATCAAGTCAAGAAGAGCATGGAGCAAAGTACTTCAAGTCTTGCAAGAAAACAAATTCCAACCCAGACTGATTTATCCTGCAAATAAATGGAGAAGTGAAATATTTCAAATATAATGGAGAAGTGAAATATTTCCATGACAAGGAACAACTAAAGAATTTCATGATGACAAAGCCAAGCCTACACAGACTCCTAAATGATGTTCTAGAGAGGG